GGTTAATCAGGTTAGGGTTCAAACGGGCTGCGGATTAGTCGAGTTCGGGTTCAATCGAGTTGCGGGCAAATCGGTTGCGGGTTCATCGGGTTTTGGGTCAGCGAGCGGATCGGGTTTTGGGTTGTTCGGGTCAGCGCATCGAGTAACTTACTCATTACTCATTATCAACTTACACATTTTATTCCACTAATTTAAAATATTTTTCTCTAACTTTTTAACCAATTTATTCCTACCTCGTATATATATATATATGGGGAGTTCTACGGTACTTAGGGTGAAATCCGGGGTACCGCATACCTTGAGTAAGAAAACGCTATCCAAAACTTGAATTGACTGATCTTTCAGACATGATATTATACTCTAACCCTTAAAGATCAAAATCTAGGCCTTAATTCTCTAAATCTTATACCTCAAGATCAATTTAATTAGAAACAATAATCGACGGTTATGATTCGTCCAAATATAGGCAAAAAAATCAGTACACCATCTTAGGGTTTATAGTTTATGATTTGGATAATTAGGACCTAGGGTTCACTCATTAAGGGTTAGGGTATAGTATCATGCCCAAAAATCCTATTAATTTGAGGTCTAGATAGCGTTTTCATACTCAAGGTATGCGGTACCCCGTATTTCACCCGGGGTACTGTAGAAGGCACCATATGTATATATATATATATATACTTAATTTTTTTGAAAAAAAACTAGTCAAAATGGTAAATCAATTTGTATGGCTTGCAAACTTGTTATGTAATTAATGCACTAGCTAATAGTAATGGTGATATCAACATTTGCAACCAAAAGACACCATTAATTTTTTATTTGATATTAGTATTATTTCAGTAGTAATTAATGTACTAGCTAATAGTATCTCGGGTTGCGAGTCGGGATAAACGGGCGGGTTATTGGTCGGGTTCTGTTTTGACACCTATACTCATAACTTACTCAATAACATATATCCTATACACTTAGCCTTACCATCAATCGACAATATTAAGTTAGTTTATATATTATATTAATATTGTCCATGATCTCAATTATTAATTGTTAATTATTAATATTTACATTATGTTGATTTTATATTTACTTTTTAAATTTTTTTAAAGAACTTAGTATTTTTTTTGGTAATTAAGAACTTAGTGTTCAAGTGACCTTCATGTTTCAATTTTTGAAATTTTCTTAAAATACATAATATCAAATAAGTTTCATATTTTTTAAATTCCCTATAATGAAAAAATAATTTTACCTAATTTTGGAATGAAAAAATTTATTTTGAAAAACTATGTATTGTATATTATAATAATTATTCAAGTGGATTAAGTGAAGTTCTGGTTGAGTCAGACGGGTTACGGGTTAGTCGGGTTCGGGTCAATCAGGTTCGGGTTCTTCAGGTTGCGGGTCAGTCGGGTTGCGGGTCAATCAGTTTCGGATTAATCGGGTTGCGAGTTAGTTGGGTTGCGGGTCAATCGGGTTGTGGGTTGGGTGGGTTACGGGTTGTTGACTTTTAGTCAATTCGGGTTGCGAATCGGGTTGATCAGGCAGGTTAATCGGGTCAGGCTATGTTTTGACACCTATAATACCAAGACTATAGGCAATGGCGGACCAAAGAATTTTACATAGGGGTGTCCTTTTTCAAACAATAAAGTAAAATAAAAATTTAATAATTAATAATTATTATATTATTCTAAAATAAGAAAATACCCAACTCGTACAAGTTAAAAAATTATAAAATATACGTGGTGTCTACACTGCTCAATAAATTTGTCTCGGTATATCCTACTAGACAATCATTCACGAACTGACGCATATTTGACTTCTAAATTTGTTCATGATGAAACTCAAAGCTGAAAAAACACTTTCAACACTTGTCGTACAACCATAAAATCAATACAAATTAATGGTAGCTTGTAATTAAATTAATTGTTAGGTTTTGAAAATAATTAAAGATAGAGAATATGGTTTTGCTATTATACATTGTTTAGAATATAACAACAAAAAAGTTGTAGTCTAATGGAAATTATATTTATTAGTAATAGTAATGTCCCGGGTTTGAATTACCCAAACTACCACTTATATTCCCATATGCAAACTACAAACGAGAGTAGTATAATAGTTCTTTAAAATTTCAGGGTGTGGGGACTATTAATTATAATTTTTGTCTATACGTAAATTACCACCAGAGGTTGGTTAATCGATCTTCCAAAATTTAGGGGTGTCCCGGCCTCCCGGGACACCCCTAAATGCCCCTGGGTCCGCTCTTGACTGTAGGAAGGTTGAATACATGATAGTAGGAATACTAACTGTCATTTACGATTTTCATCATTGTTTACCACAAGTTACCACCCCCATATCAAGGTGGTAAAGTATGGTAAGTTTTGGTCCTGTATTTTTTTCACCCAAAAATTTGTAGATCCAAATAGATCATGACGAACTCATTCCTTTTTGGTGGGAAGTTTTAAAAATATAAAATAATTTGATAATTTTTGGTTAATTTATAAAATTTATCACTTTTCAAATTATCCAAAAAATAAAAAATCAAATTTATTTTATGTTTTTTATAATTTATTTTTGGTTAATTTAATAATAAATTAGAAAAATAATTTGGATTTTGCATTTTTTTAATGATTTTTAGGCTGATTAGGCAATGACATGGCGTGTTGACTAACGGCCAATGGAGTTGACCGTCCAAATTGACGGTCAAATTATGTGTCGGGCCAATTGAGTCTATATGCTGCATAGTTGAGGCCAGGATGTTAATTTCTGAAACCACGTGCCAAAGTTGATTATATGGTCATAGTTCGGGCCAAAATAAGGTATTAACCCTAAAGAAAAGCAAGGATCATAACCAATCACACTAAGTACATTTGTTGTTTCTTTTTAAATTAAAAACATATAATAGCGGGGAGGAAAACCCATTTCAAATTCCCTGCTGCAAGAGCGTTTGTAGAAAGGGTAGAATAGGGAGTGTCAATTTTTTTCTCTTTCCTCTGTGGAACGGGCCAACTTACCGTACACATGCGGATTTAAACGGGTCCAAGAGTGTCAATTTTTTTCTTCAAGCCTTTTATTTCTCCCTGGTGATAAAATATATATGAAAAGGCAAAAACAATACTCATTTTTATTGCTAAAAATAAAAAATTTAACAATAAACTAATGCACGGTATCTAATGGGCTAACCACTAACCATAAAATAAAAGAGTTGAATGGGTCTGACCTACACGGGATTTGGCCATCAAGTAAAACAAATGAACATCATTGGTTTGTCATTCTAAAACAAGCTATTTTCTCTGGCATAATATATATTATGCTATTATTTTATATCTAAGTGGCTAAAATATAATGTATTTTAAAGTTATTCAATGGTTCAACCTCGACCAACCCAATTAGTCCAATTTTTATTATTTCAAATAGGAATGGCAATGGGGCAGGTCCGGGGCGGGTATCTCGATACCCATACCCGCCCCATGGCAGGTCGGGTCCAGGTCGGGTAATTTATCACGGGGCGCGGGTAGGGGCAGGTCGACCCGTTGGGTATGTAATTATGCGAAAAACATTAGAAACATTCGTTATTTTCATTAAAAGACCAAGAAAGAAACCATAATATGATAAAATGTAGTTAAATTATTGAAGAAATTGAGGTTTTCATTTATTTACAACTTTATTATAGCTAAAATATAATGTAATAAGAGGAAAATCCTAAGTAATTTGACTAAGATTATATGTAATAAAGGCAAGAACGGGTCGAGAATGGGGCGGGTTAGGGCAGGTCGGGTCGATGAGAGGTACCCATGCCCGCGCCGCCCCGCCTACGGGGCGGGTTTGACCTGCTCCAAAACAGGTCAAATAGGTCGGGTAAATCGGGTCAGGTCGAAATTGCCATCCCTAATTTCAAATATATATTATATAATTATTTGATATCATAATGATCAAATTATAGTGTATTTTATAAGGAATCGTTTGGTATTTGTTAGTAAAAAACTAAACAGAACGATCTATTTGGTTATTTTAAATATTAAAACGATCCTAAACATTTTCAGTTCCTTTTGAATTTTTATGGTTTTATTCTCGAATAAGTGATGTGCAAATGGCGAATTGCAGTCATCTCTTTTCTTTTACTATTTTTTATTTTCAAATAGAAAGTTTAAAAGTAAAGAATAATTAGAATTTGACATGGGTCGGTCAAACATGCTGAATTTCAAGTTTTGGCCCGTTTTGATCAAGTCTAATTTATAATCACATGGTTCCCTGATACCCGATAAAAATCTCAATCCAAACCAGTTTGGCAGGTGAGTCTGTGTTTACCACCATTTTCTAGGATACGACAACGACGGTTTCTATCCCAAATTGTGTTATTCGTTCTTGATTTCCTTAGATTTTATCATGGCCTAACAAAAACCAGAAAGCACATTGACGACAAGATGAAAGTTTTATAAAGCAAATTAATCGACCAACGGGCCGAGTAAAAGCTAGCAACGATTGTGAGATGCTCATTTCCCGAAAACCGACGGGATAGGCGAATTTTTATTCGATTTTTTGGAATTCGGTTTCTATAAAACTTACTCCACCTCATCATATTATCAGAAACAATATTGTTTCACAAACTAACATGTACTTGATTTTAGTTCATAAGGCCGATTTTTGATTCATTGCATTATTCATGTCTCTTTCCTGCTAAAATTCACTATTTTATCACGAATTTCCCAAAAGAAACTATACAACAATAAGCTATACACCCTATTATATTATCAAATTTCATACCCCACTTTCCTCCGGCCAACTGGCCGGCCCCACACTAGTAACATAAAAGAATGAGAGTTGAGTTGAGTTGAGTAGGGTAGGGTTATCGCGTTCAATTATTTACATAGATGCCCTTCGCTCTTGCTTGAGCCAAGGGCGGGTGAAAACAAACGGGTCAAGTGATGAACTGGGGAGCCGTATATAGTGTTATATAAATTCCACTGAGAAAGGGGTTTGAAAGCTTCCCCTAAAACCCTAGAAACTCCATGACGCCCATTTCGAAATCTCTCTGCACCATTCTTTGCCGCCGTTTCAGCTCCCTCCCGAAGACGAAGCCCCTCTCTAAAATCCCTCAGAAGCGCCGGCGGCGGGCGGTCAAAGAAGCTCAACAAGTTCTCACAGAATATCTCCACGCCACCAAGTCTCTTCCTTTCACCTATGCGGAGCACATTAGCAAGAACTCCACCGTCTCCCTCTCCAATCTCATGGCCAACGTCGAGTACACTGCATCTGACTTCTCCAAGTCCCTGCGCAAGTTCCTCAGGTACCACCCAATTAATGAGCTCGAGTTCTTCTACGAAAGCCTTGGCATTGGCTACGATGAGGTTCGTGGGTTTCTGCCCGCGGATAAGTTCTTCTTCTCTGAGGATGGCAGTGCTTTGGCAGTTGCTTGCGGGCTTTCTGGTTTTGGGTTTCCGTGGAACGAGTTGGGCAAGTTGTACAAAGAGGAAGGTGCTATTTTTACCAAGTCGCCTGAGGAGATTACATCGAGGCTGCACGGTTTCAAGGATTACGGGTTTGGTAATACTTCCGTGATTGGTATCTGTATGGCTTTCCCTTTTGTCCTGAATGGTCAACCGGTTGAGGAGATTGATGCTCTGTTTAAAGATTTGAAGATGCTTTTCATGGATTTTGATTTAGCCAGCCACGTTGAAGGAAATTTGGATGCTTGGTACGAGATGTGTAGAAAACTTAAGATGTTCTATGATTTAGGCTGTGAGAAGGGAAGGGTCGGTGATTTGATGGGTAGGAGTAAAAAGATGTTTATAGATGTGCAAGAACAAGTTTTGGCAGACAAGATACGGTATTTTACTAGGCTTGGTGTTGGAAAGATGGATGTGGCTTTGTTGCTTCTGGAAAAACCAGAACTCTTGGTTCTCGACCTAGGGGCACAAATGTTTTCCATCATGGGATTGTTGAGGCATTTTGGATTGAGTACCCTACAACTGGCTTTTGTTTCTGAACAGTATCCGCATGCATTGGGAAGGAACAAAATGGCCAATCTCCCTCACGTTATGCGAGCCATGGATTTGCATACTTGGTTTTTTGACAGGCTGAAAAATGGAGATCATCACTTGTTGGGTAGTTATGCTATGACTGATCCAGCTGAAGATTTCGATAAAGAGTTTGCTGATGGCTTGGAGAGGATCAAAGTGTCGAGAACACCTGTGCATAACATGAGTAAATTGGATTTCCTGCATGGAATTGGGTTCGGGGAGAATGCTTTGACGATGAAAGTTATAACTTTTGTGCACGGTACAAAAATTGAGCTGCAGGAGCGATTCGATTGCCTACTTAATGCAGGGATTGAATTCCCCAAGCTTTGCCAGATTATCAGAATCATGCCAAAGATTCTGAACCAAAACCCTGAAATAATTGAAAAGAAACTTAACTATCTCTGCAATGAAATGGGGAGCTCTTTGCAGTATCTTGATGTTTTCCCTGCATTTTTGAACTTCAACTTAGAGAAGCGGATTAAACCAAGATTCAGATTCCACATGTGGCTCATGGAAAAGGGTTTGGGTTCCAATAACTATTCTATTGCCAGTATGGTTGCAACCAGTGAGAAGAATTTCATACATCGTTTACATGGAATTCACCCAGCCGTTCCAAAGTATTGGTTCGAGCATTCTACAGCCAATGAACTTGCTAACGTCTGAAATATATAAGAAAAGGTATGTATGTAATGGGCGTAGGAATTCATTTTTTTAGATTTAAGTGCCATGGATATGCACGGATGTTTGTGGAATGGTACTTCTCTTCCAGATTATTTGGATATTGGTATTGACTTGTACTATATACTGTAACTAGCATGGCCTAAAGAGCTGCTGTTATAATCTTGTTTAAGTAGATATTTTGACATTTCATGGTAATTGTGAGTGGTGGTCTTTTTAGTATGGATATTTTGCACCTTAAAGAAGTACCTGCTTCACACATTTCTGTAACTTGAGAAACAGACGCAGATTTTACTTATAGTGTGCACTGCTGATAAAGGAAAAGTAGAACAGGCTCTCTCTCTCTCTCTCTCTCTCTCTCTCTCTGTCTGTCTCTCTGCACATTGGATATATTTTTCTTTTAGGTACATTTTACTCTTGAAGCTAGATTCTTTGAAGGAAGCCGTTGAAGCACGTCTCATTGTTTGGTGAATGAAGAGATAAATTATGTCCATTCAGGTGACGTAGTCAAAACAGTGGGTTAATCAGCTTGTACTTTTTACGGTTGGCACCCCACTGGATACGGATTCTCATTCCATAGTCAGGTCTGAACTTTCTATTTCTGCAGCCCATTTTTCCAACTTTTAACTATAATTGTCTTACGCTTTTATGCTAGTCGATTACATATAACCGTCTCCTGTTTTCATTGGTTTTCTTGGCTGCTATGGCTTCTCTACTCTTTAAGAATGGGCTCTTAACAGCCGAGTTTCCATTTCTGGGATTTCAAGCTTCTGTGCATCTGAAGTCCCGGCCTTGCTTTCTGCAGACAACAGCAGTTGACAGAGCAGAACCCTATCCAATTGTGGCTGCTACTGTGGTTTTGGAAATTCGCCCATTGTTTGTCCAATGCTATGCATCTGGATGGCGCTGGAGTGGAGATCATGCTGCTGAGTTGTCCATTCTGATCTACCTTGTCATTTCAATACTGAAATGGGTATGGAAAGCTTAAAGCTGGTTACATATGATTTGGCACTGGCAAAGACCAATGATTCTGCAGCAGCTGGATATGCAGAGTTACGCAAATGGCTTTTGTATACTGGAAGTCGTCTAAACTGTCAGTATCCGGGATCCTCTTATTCATTCTCCTTCCTGGCTAAACAAAGGATTGGAAGGGGGAAAATTCAATAGTTTAATGACCATAATAGAGAACCAGCTTTGTTCCATGCTATTTTTTCAATTATTAATATTTGAAATTATAATTAAACTATTGTTGCATGAATTTATTATTTGGATTGATATAAAATATTTGTAATCATAAAATTTATGTTTATATCATAAAATCACTCTAATTCTGATTCAATATCAATAAATCCATGCGATACTATTTGTAAAACGGGCCAATTGAGGCCCATATCGCTTATAGAGCTAATTCCTATAATTACGAAACGGGTAAATGTCACATTTGATCACTGAAATTACTAAATTGTGTCATGTTTAGTCACTAGAAAAATTTAATATCAATTTTGGTCACTCGAATTACTGATCAGGTCACATTTAGTCACTCTTCCGTTAGTTTCCGTCCAAATCCATTAATGGAGTTGGATGGAAACTAACGGGAGAGTGACTAAATGTGACATGTTTCAGTAATTCAAGTGACTAAATGTCACATGTTTCAGTAATTCAAGTGACCGGAGTTGGCCGGAGACTAACGGGAGAGTGACTAAATGTGATCTGTTTCAGTAATTCGAGTGACCAAAATTTATATTAAAATTTTCTAGTGACTAAACATGACACGATTTAGTAATCTCAGTGACCAAATGTGGCATTTACCCATTAGGAAACCCATATGAGTAACAGATGAATAGACTATTCTCTTTTTAAATTTCGTTGACCAGGAGATGTTGAAGTTGCATGGATTATTTGGATCGCGCCTACTATTATTAAGTAGGGGGGAAATATAGAATGTGCGCGGGGCAATAATTCCATATTGATTCGAATCAATCCATACGCTCCCATTTTTAATAAGATTCCTGCTAGAAGCATATAAGTACTGTAATGCACTTCTCCATGGGTGTCTGCCGTCTGATAACCATGTATGAAAGGGTATAATTGACAATTTGACAGCAAAAGCAATAAGAAATACAATATAGAATAATATTTCCAGAGTCGCAGGATATGATTGGCTGATGTTTCAAAATTGGATACTGACAGTTTAGACGACTTGCAATATACAAAGGATTGGAAGGAGGAAAATTCAAGAGTTTAATGACCATAATAGAGAACCAACTTTGTTCTCTGCTACTTTTTTAATTATTAATATTTGAAATTATAATCAAATTATTGTTGCATGAATTTATTATATGGATTGATATAAAATATTTGTAATCATAAAATTTATGTTAATATCATAAGATCACTCTAATTCTGATTCAGTGTCAATTTTTACCGATAAAGTTTAAAGATGAAAAAAATGGAAGTAACATAGGGGTCATTTGGAGAATATGAGTTTAAATTTACAGATTGTCAACAATCTAAAGATTCTAACTCTTCGTATTGTTGAAAACAGATTTTAAAATGTTTATTGTTTGGTAATTGTGATTGTTAACATTCAAGTAAAATAAAAAAGTTAATTTTATATTAAATAACATGTTTACCCTTAATAAAAATTAGAGTGGTTCGAGAAATATAAAAAACTTTGTTGATAAATATATTTCATGTGATAAATAAATAAATAAAAGGAAGAGAAAAATTAGGAGAGAAAAAATCTCACGAATCAAGATATAGAATGTCTCTGATTATGAGAGATTTTATATCCGCAGATTTTAGAGATTTGAAATCTCTAAAGCTAGAAGCCACAATACAAAAAGCAACAAAAAAACATAACTTTCTACAAAATCTACGGATTCAGTGAATCCATGTCCTGAATCATGTTCTCCAAACGACCCCTTAGTTTCAATTTTGTTATATTATTAATATAATTAATGGAGTTTATCTGATTAGTTTTGCAATTAATATTATCAAATAGAGTTTGTTTTACTGGTTAGAAACTTTGCACTATATCTAAGCCCGGGAGGTCGTGTGTGGTTGTGGAATGTAGCATGGCTATGCATGCTGTCTCATAAAGGTTGTTGTGGATAGCTCCAACTTAGATGCCCTTGCTGGTCGTGGAGATGATTCTTTTTGATAAGGAGAAGGTTCTTGAAATATCAAAGGGCCTGGCTGTGCATTATAGAAGGGTGGTTGTTCCTAGAACCCAAATTTGTAGCGTTGTTTGTACTGTTTATCCCATGAAACCTGGGGGTAACATGGTCGGGTATTGGTTGATACCCCTACATGTTGAAGAAGTCATTTAGATTCATGATTCAAACCTGCACAACAAAAAATGACAAAAAAAGGTAAATTAACAAACTAATCCATTTCTAATAATCTAGGTGTTTCCTACCGAATGCGCCAAATATTTGATCGTGTCGGAAACATAGATTTTGGACCTCTTTTGTCGTTTTTGGATTTGGTGGCCGTTTGGTTTGGTTTTGAATATTTTGGATGTTTTGGGGCATTTGGGCGATAGGAATATTTATTGGGTAGTTAGAGGTCATTTATCGGTTTATATATATGATGGGATTGGTGGGATAATACTCATTAAGAAATAACCTATTAATTCCTTAAACCCTACTACCTCTCTCTCTCTTCCTCTCCCTAGTCGAAATTTCCCTCTCTCCTCTTCTCCTTGTCGTCGGCCTCCTCCTCTCACAGGAGACTAACTTCTTCCTCAAGTTCCACCATATTCACCTCTTCTTTTCGAACTATTGGTCCTCGCGTGGACCATAGACGTAGCCCCTTGATCCATACTTCTTTCAGTGGTATCACCGCGGGGTTCGGAAAAGATGTATGACAAATCGCAATCGTAGAAGAATCCCAGAAACACTATCAAGACATTTAGCTATTGGATTACCTTGTTGTTTGTTTGATCAAACAAATCGAAATCGTGAGAAGGGCCATAAGGTATATGAAACCTTCCAAACAATCTCGAACTCGTGGAAGAGGCCAACCGATATCGTCAATGCTCGCCACAACTAGACGCGTTCTCTAGTTGATAAGATTCTACTCAATTCTCCCGAATCCTCAAAAGAGAGATTAAGCAAAATCGTTCACAATTGAACTCTCCCTTTGAGGCCAATTTCATTCTCCTCTTGATCCACAAAGCTGAATAGTGTGATGGACTTTCCTTCTAGCAAATCCAAGCTGATGCCTTCCAACTCCTTAGCCTAATAACTCGTAATTTGATCTCGAAATGCTTTAGCTCTAACACTTGTCATTAGTCCCTCATCTTTAGCATGCTTAGTCTTGATGACCTCATCACATATCATATTTTGGATGTAACTTCTAGCAGCTGAAGTATTTAAATGGTTTGGGTAACGACTTTAATCTTTCATCTGCCAATATCAGAGAGCCACAATGATCTGAGAATCTGGGAGGAAGAATTTTCACACAGGTGTGTGTCCTTGGTCAACAATTTATAGTTCAGAAAAACTCTATCAAGACATTTAGCTATTGGATTACCTTGTTGTTTGTTTGTCTAGGTGAGCCAAGAGCCAACAACCTAATGATCAGTTAACTGGAGATCATCTATCCATTTCTGACAATTGTGTGAGCTGTCTCCAAGTTCAACACTATTTGATGCCTCATTTTCATTGATTATAGCACTAAAATCACCCGCAATGAACCATGGACAAGAACACTGCACCTTATGTTTAATATAACCATGGACAAGAACACTGCACCTTATGTATAATATCTTCATAGATCAAACACTCTCTGTGTATAATTTGAAGCTTACACAAAAGTCAGAAACATTGGTTCCACACCTTGCAAACTGCCATGAACAAACTGATCACTTGCTTCAAGTACTGTGAACTTCAGTTCCTTCTTCCACAAAACCCAATACGACCAACTTGAGTAAAAGAATTGGTATCAGCCAACTACCAATTTGGAAACTTTCCATCTACAATTTTCGGGAAAAGTTAATCTGCTAACTTGAAGATTCGTTAGCAGATACTAACTGATATCCAAAATATATGAATTAATATCCAAGTACTAAAGTATCTAGAGAGCACATACTAGTATTCAAAGTTTGCTAACTGATATCCGCCATGAATCAACTATTATCCCAAATTCACAAACTAATATCTAGACAACACAGAATAGTATCCAAACAACACATAAGAGTATCCATATTAAATACTAATTGGTTGATTGTGGATATTAGTTGGTATATGCTATTTGGAAACTAGTTTGTGATGTTTTGAATACTAGTCTGTGCTATCTAGATACTTAGCTGACTTAGATATTAGTTCATACATTTTGGATATTAGTTAGTATATACTAACGAATCTTCAAATTAGCAGAATAACTTTTCCCCCCCAAAAGCTAGGCTGCAAATTTCTGAGTATTTTTCTTACTAATTATGGTCTCTATATTTTTTTTTTTGAACAAATTATGGTCTCTATAATAGCTACAACATCCACCTTGTATCTACTAATTGCTTCTACTATTGTATGTTCCTTGCTAGGGTTACTGAACTCGCGCATATTCCATGTTAAGACTATCATTTAACGATTAACCTTTGCCTTAGGAGGCCTATCAGAACCTTTCCTAATTTTCTTTTGTTGTGCTAAAGGTGTTCTTGACAGCTCTGGAAACTCTACTGGATCTTTTGAGAGGTGAAACTACAACTGAACCAATCTCAAACTCCCCCAAAGATTGCAGGGCTGCAAACGAATTGGCACCATTTGACAGGCCTTCTACTTCTCCCTCCTGAGCTATCACAACATTCTGGAATTCCCCATCAGTTTGGAGACGCACAGCCTCAGAAGGCCAATTTCACTACTAGAGCTAACACCCTCCATTGATGAGACTATGTTAGCTATTGCAGCATTGAGCCTCGCTTCATTTCAGCGTGATCCTTCAGTTTCTGCTTATTTGCATGACTTCCAGGCAGTGTTGCCATCGCGCGATACATTCCTCCAGCTCCGCCGAGATCCAAATCCCATCATCCACTATATCCGGCTCAACTTACACCAAACTATTCTCTTCCGCAATTACGAACAAATCCGTCCAAGACCTACCTCCCTTGGCTAGTTGTAGTAACCAGAAGCCCCTCCTGAGACCGTCAAGACTCGAATTCCGATCAATCACCAGTCACCACCGGATTGGGAGATTCTCCGGGAAGAAAGGTGGGGAATTGCCTAAAGGCTTAGAGAGAGAGAGAGAGAGAGAGAGAGAGATCAAAACTCGGGATGGGGAAACAGCCAACTATATCCGGCTCAACTTACAACAAACTATTCTCTTCTGCATTTTTATTTCTATGTCAAATTTGGGCATTGTAATAATAATTATCAATCTTCCTGTCAGGTTTCCTTTGTAACAGCCAAAGCTTGCTGCATTCTGTCATGTAAAAAGGACAGATACATTCATTCCATGAAATATGTTGAGACCACGATTCAAAGAACCCATGCAAAAACAACAAACAAAAGATTCCCACCTAGCTACCAATATCAAAACTGTAGCTTGTAACCAATTTAAATTTATGAACAAATTCCAAAAGCGACTGACCGCTCGCAGGATGTACTATTGATGAATAATGAAGCCATTCCATGATCAGTAATACTATGATGGCTCAAGGATTTGCAACCTTGGGTCAGTTAGCTTATGCTGGAACTGGTGCAGCAGCTGGTATGTAAGACTCCAGAATGAGTTGAGATTGTGAAGGGTGTGTGATCTGAACGATCAAGTATGTATACTTCCACTGCTTGTCAACTTTGTCCCTGAACATTTCAGCTGAAACCTTGCCAGCTCCATGTGGCCCCCTGATATGAAAGCTTACCTACGAGTCAATAACCAACTTCAGCTTATGAGATGTAAAACATAAGAAAAACAACAAACATTCATCATTGAGCATCACAGATTGAGGGAGGTAGTGATTACCAGGACATGCTCAACGCCATCTTCGTCTGTGTATATCTTGTTTGGAATTCTCTGACGAGCAGCTCTGTTCCTGCTTTCCTGACCATAACCCGTAATAGGAGATCCAATCCTCACTCGCACCTGGGAACGAAGGGGGAAAATAACAAGTGAAATGGTCATCAGCTGAAATCACGGTTGTCACCGGATATCAAATCATGTTCTCAAGCTAATTCGTAGATGTAATGAATTTTAGCCCCTTCAACCCACCCAGTCGGCGATAAACAATAAGGTAAATTCTACTAACCTGACCATCATCTTGAATTCTCTTCAAAGCCATGTTAAAGATCTTGTACCTATAATGAAAGGTGGACATGTCAATTTAAATCACGGAAGAAGACATGAACCGGAGGTCCCTGAAAACAGAGATACTTTAGTGCTTACTCTTTAGGTTCAAAGATCAGTTCCTTGAAAACAGCATAACCTGCAGCTGCTGCTAACCCTAGGCCTACTAGGATTACCAAAGTGTAGGAAGCGCCCTCTGTAAATGTAACAGGCTTCTCTGGGATATTGTAGGTGGGAGCATCAAAAGGATCCTCAACTGTGGACACATCTTTTTTGGTCTGACACAGTACAACATTACAATGATCAGTATGCAGACATGAATGCTTAACACGGGATTCAGTTGTTCTACGCTGAAATGGTCTGTCTCACCTCACCAGAATGAAGCAGACATTTCTTGACCATACATATATTACAAGGAAACTAGTTCTACAATACTAACCTCGGACTGTTTCTGCTCAGCTCTCCTAGACATTCTTGATGCAAAGGATCTGGCAGAGAATCGACTACTGCTGTTTGTTGAATTTCTTTGCAGAAGTTGGCATGAACTTCTAAATCCTGCTGTGGAGGATTGTCTGCAATTCCATCTACCATGAAAAACAAGGAGTCCTGCAACACATCGTTGTAGTGAAATTATTTGCTAAACACGAATAACATAGAGAAAAACATTCCCCTTCTGAACCAAAATGGTTGGATATGCATAGCTGCCAAAAGGGTGGAATTCTAGGAGATTTGTGCATCCGCGGGTTGTATGGCACTGACAGTTTAAAAAGATAACAAAGGACTCGACTCTTGTTTGTGGAGAAACAACTTAAGGGACACAGGCAGGCAGGCAGAACTTGGATACAATAGAGGGAGAAAAAAGACACCAACTAGCAGAGGGGGATAATCCACAAGTATGACATGAAGTGACAGTGTAACTTGACTAACCATTTGCTTGACGAGAGTCCAACTGAAAAATCAACAGGAGAGAGAAATCAGCCTGAAGTTCTTGGCCACAGTTTGCGGTTAATGTAAAAAAGGGGCTCATTGCGTCACCTGAGCAATATGCGCGGCACCAGCAGTGAAATGCCTCAGAAACCCCGACTTAGAAGGCATTGGTATCTGCACAACCGTTGGTAAAATGGAAGTAAGCTGAATGTTAGCTTTACATGACCCCAGCTACGATTCTGACAAGATTGAGTAATGGACCATGCTATTGCGATGAAACGTGGATAGGGCAGTTAAGAAGAACCAGGAGCAGGACAAAAATGAGCTACAGAACTAGCATAAACTCATGACTGAACAAGGTAGGTACCATCTCTAAGAGAAAAACATAAAGAAGCACCATTACTTCTGCTTGATCCTTATACTCTCATCTCATCTTGTTTACAAAGACTGTAAAATGAAAACTAATAGCGGCACTACGCTGAGCGGACGCTAAATTCGTGAAAAAGACATAATTACAGAAGGTGGAGACTGCCAACGAAACTTGCCCCTATTGTCGGCCGGGAAATTGCAGCTTTCCCAGTAACAAGGGTCGACGATGAAAAACCAACATGAGCTAAGCACTTTTTTGCAGGGTTTGGCCCCAGGAGGGAGGACAGCCCATTCCGAGATCTCAAGAGAAGGGCCGATTTCCTCACGCCTTGCATCTCCAGAAACAGGCTAACTGAAATCTTCGGCAAAGCACACCAAACACTCAGCGGCGCGAAGGAGAAGTAGGAAGGAAGGTATCCAAACTAGGAAATCGAATGCGCCCCCGACGATGGTGGAGTGGAGAGGAGAGGAGTGAGATGAACCAAAACCCTCAACTCCAACCGCACGCATAGGACTAGGAGCCAGGAAGAGAGGGGTTTTTTGCTCTGGAGGGCATCTACACAATTGGGAGCCCAGTAAGCAGACCCATAACCAAGGAATGGGCCTAATTTTCAAATGGGCCTAATTTTCAAATGGGCCAGTAGCCTTTCTTCACAATCGGAGTCCTGCTGGCGGCGGTTCGTGAGTCGTGACGGTGGCGCTGAGTAGCGTTAGCGTAGCAAAGCCAGCAGCGAGAGAGAGAGAGAGAGAGAGAGAGTGTGTGTGTGTGTAAAACCAAAAGCTCAAAAGGCGCTACGCAGCCGGAGGAATTGAAGAAACTGAAGCGGAAGGAGAAGGTTGTTGATTGAGTACAGGGAAGCTGCAGCAACTTCCCTTTCTTTGCTTCGCCAGCCGCCTCTCTGTCCAGACTCCTCAGATAGTTAAGGTAATGTTTGGTGAAGCTATGTGGAAGAAAGAAATTCTTAGCCTGCTTGTTTGAACGAGCCAGAGCTTCTTCTACATTTCGAATTGAATCTTCCCCTTTGTTTCGCTTGTGTCCTTTCCATAATCAGATGGCAAGGTGGGATGAGATTCTGTCCCTCCCAGTACAGAACCCTCCCACGCTGGACTTCTCTGCTGGTGACCTTGTTTGGTCCAAGGTGGAAGGTTGGCGCGACAATTTAGACAGGCTTGCGCTTATACCTTATGCTAGGGTGGATGATTTTGTTAGAGGTGAATCTGCCAACAAAGATTGCCCCACTAGATTTCACGTTGAAGCAAGACGGCGTCGGCCTCCACAGGCATCTTGCAAGCAAAAGGTTGATGGCATTCTTGAGTACATACTGTAAGCTCCCGCTTCCACTTTCCCTGCTCTTTCTTAGCTGCCCCACTCCAGCATCCTGGCCTTTTATAGCTGTCTTTTTCTAATCTCATCAGGTATTGGTGTTCATTTGGTCCTGATGATCACCGAAAAGGCGGCATAGTAAGACCAAGTAGGAATACCTATGTTCCAAAGAAGAAAAATGCCGGTCGACCAAATACTAAGAGGGGTTGTACCTGCCACTTTATCGTGAAGCGCTTGATTGCTGAACCAACCGTCGCGCTAGTCATTTATAACCAAGACAAGCATATTGATAAAATGGGTCTCCCATGCCATGGCCCACAGGACAAGAAGGCGGAAGGAACGCGTGCTATGTTTGCACCATACATCTCTGAGGATCTCCGGCTTCGTGTTTGGTCTTTATTGTATGTTGGTGTATCTGTTGAGACCATTATGCAGAGGCACAATGAATCTGTGGAGAAACAAGGTGGCCCTAGCAATCGTGACCATCTCTTAACCCATAGGTATGTCCGAAGGCAGGAACGGAGCATGAGAAGATCAACATACCAACTGGATGAAGATGATGCAGTTAGTATTGGATTATGGGTTGAAAGCCACCAGAGCCATGTGTTCTTTTATGAGGACTTCTCTGATACTGACCCATTAGTGTTGGGGATTCAAACAGAGTGGCAGTTGCAGCAGATGATTCGGTTTGGAAATAAAAGACTTATGGCTTCAGATTCGAGCTTTGGACCAAATAAACTAAAGGTTTGTTTTTATCTTGTTATCCACACTAATCCTCGTGATATTTGTGTACCAGCACATTTACATGTCTGAAAAATGAAACTAGAGAAGAATTTGAATACATCAGCAGCTGATTATGTTGTATTTGCTATGGTTTAGCATCCTGTTCAGACTCTTCTGGTGTTCAACTCAGAAAACAAGGCTATACCAGTAGCTTGGATCATAACACCAAGATTTGCAAGTACTGCACACAAGTGGATGAGGCCACTTTATAATAGAGTCCGTTCGAAGGATCCCAACTGGATGCTAGCTGGCTTTATCGTGGATGATCCGTCGATGGATATCCTTACAATCAGGTTTGTGGATGACTTCTCATTTTAGTTTATGGGGTAGTTATTTGACCTTTGAATTCTATTGGTGTTGTAAAAGGCAAGGATTTCCAGAATTTAGGTGAGCCAGTTTTTAGCTTGGTCATGTCAACTAGGTTGAAGAGAAAGGAATAACCAAAATTCTTTCAGAAGCCGGTTTAATGCTGTCTATTTTCGCCTATTACCCTTGTGCACAGTATTTGTTCGAAAGTCCTCTTTTTGTACCATCACTATAACGTTACTCTGGTTTTAGGGTAGCTGGATTATAATAGCCTGAAGACTAGTTTCAATGGCCTAACTTCAATGTACAGAGGCTTCTCTTATGGATGTTGACTAGGTCCGTTAGTAACTTTTTTATTAAATTATTTCAGGAGGTTCCAAGGGGTCAAGTAGTGTCTTTTAGTTAACATCTTATTTCTAATAGGGGTGCTATGTCCTCTGAATCTTCAGGGATGTCTTTCAGTGCTCAGTATTGTTGTCCTTTTGGCGGGTACGGCATTCATGGCATAAGAACCTAGTAAAGAGGTGCACTGAGACAGAACGTGTTCAGATATCACAGCAGCTTGGGCTGATAGTGGACAAGATCCGCACAGGACCCCTAAATATGAATCCATTTGATGCATTCATGGAGGAGTTTGGTGCTTCCTCTGATTTTATCGATTACTTCAAGGCAACCTGGTATCCTAGAATAGGTTTGTCTCCCTCTTTTTGCTTTCTAGTCCTTCAAACATGAAGCGTATATTTCTGTATTTCAGCTTACCTTTTGCATTTATATTGATTTTTACCTCATACTTTTACGGATGGTTGATCTGGACCAAATGACTGATAGTAGCTTCTCCGATCTTTCTTTTTTCTCTTTTCTATTCCATTTTACTGGTAAAAGAAGTAAGCTGGATTGGGTTAGTGGGCCTGCTTATTGATATTAAATTTGTGGAATGTATGAATAAACCTTCAGTTTGATTTGTAACAGGACTTTGGACAACTGCACTCAGAACTATTCCACTGGCTAGTCAGGAGACAGGGGCTGCACTGGAGTTTTACCACAATCAACTGAAGGTCAGACTACTTCTGAATGAGAAAGATTCTGATGTCTATCAACGTGCCGACTGGCTGGTCGATAAACTGGGTACAAAAGTCCATTCCTACTTCTGGCTCGATGAATACTCCGAGAAGGACTACTTTGCAAGATACTGGAAAGATGAATGGATCACTGGGTTAACATCTTGGCGGAAAGCATTAAAAATTCCCGACTCTGATGTCATCTTGGAGGAAGGGACATCTTGTGTGAGAGTAATCAACCAAGTAGATCGCGATAAGGTACACCTCGTGAGGAACTCGGGTTCACAATTTGCTCTTTGTGATTGCAAATGGGCAGAGATGGGCAACCTGTGTGAGCATGTGTTTAAAGCTAGCAAGTTGATCCTTGAAAAAGAGAATATGGATCTTCATCCATCTACAACAGTATCTCAGTATATCCAGGCTCTATTGGAAATGCTACATTGCCCTACCAATAATTCTTTGATTCGTGATCATGCTGTCTCCCTCTCGGTCCTTGTGCATAAGAAGTTGGATTCACTTGTTGCTCCAGATAGCCGATCAACTCCCATGGATCAACTGGTCTTGAGCAAGATCCTTCAGAAGAGGATGATGGTTGGGCCAGGTGTTGCAGAGCAATCGAGTAGTGGAAGAGAAACTGGGTGCACTGCAATGGATGTCGATCTATCGTCACCACTGTATGGGACATTTTGAGGAGACCCGTGATGTGCTTGGAGATGTAAGCTGTAACATTGTCGACGGCAGAATTGAAAGCTTGTGCAATGGCATGGATCTGGACTCATCACCACCCACCAGTACCTCACCTAGGTTGCATTCTAGTGATGAGGCCAGCAACAATGTCAACTCATCAAACAGTAAGGAGATTGCCAGGAGTAACATGAAACCTATTGCAGGTGAAACTCGAGATTCGGAAGTGGATATATCCACTGATGTAATATGTGGGGAACAGGAGGATAGTCCAGTGAATTTGAAACCAGTTTCTGATGATAACCCTCCAACTGCAATTGAACCTACCTACTGTAGTCGCAACGGAAGAAGTGAACTCTTATGAGAAGTTTCCTTCAGCTCATGAACCGTTATTCACTACCGCCGTTACAAAAGGGGATGTTGCTGGAACAGCCAGTCCTAGCATCAAATGAGCGTGATGGAGACGTCAGAATGTGAGCTTGTGAGACTTCTTACTTGTTCTTAGTCTAATTTATGTTTCCATAAGTGGTTGGATTGGGTATCTTCTACAGATAGATCAATCCATATTTTGGTTGAAAGGATTCTCTGTTCCGATTTGGTATGGATTATGCATGGCGCAGTTACTTGCAGTAACAAGACGGGAATCGTGCTCTTGTAATTATAGTGCAGGAAATACAATACAATCAGAAGGAGAAATTAACAAGCCTTCGTTACGAGTTACAGTCCTAACTCTAATGGTGAGAGTAGTGACCAATCTAATCACCGTAATAACCAATCTAATCACCGTTCATTACTTTTAATCTAAATCTAATGGTGAGAGTAGTGAGGGGCATATTCAGTATATACAAAAACAATTAATTTAATTAATAAATAAATTGTTTAATTATTTCTCTTATTTTTAATATAAATTTTAGATGTAAAAATATTATTACTGAAAAATTACTACTACTTAACTTAGTAGTGATTTTGGTGGTTGTAGTAGTGATTTTATATTTTCTTGTAGTGATTTAATTAGTAATCATGGTTAAAAATGCACGCTTAATCTTACGTTTAGGCACGTCTAGGCGCAAGGCAATGGCAAAACGCCTCGCCTAGGGGTTTTGCTCCTAATTAGATACTAGAACATGTCAATGGAGTAAGGCAACATAAAAAGTCTCTCCTAAGCATTACTAGATGGAGCTAGAAAGTCAATATCGAAGGAGAAAATTAACATCAACTATGAAATCAATTTTCTATATCAATATTTTCAATAGCTTAAGAATTTTGTGAGCTATTGAGCTATGATTCTATGAATTCGTGACTCATGAGCTATATATGTCCTTGACATTCAGTGTTGATTAAGTTATTAATCATTTTAACTGAAGTGAGAAAGTGTTGTACATTATTATTTCATTCATCATGTTGTGCAAATA